AGAGGATGGGGTGTGAATAGGCAGAAGCTGTGTTGTTACTTAAAGCTATCCTCGGCCAACAGACACTACGCCGTACAGTTAAAGGAACGTTGTAGTAGACTTTTGCAAGTACAGACGTTTAAAGTGATCTAAAATGTGTCGTCTGTGAACAGTAGCATGTTTGAGCAGACAAATGGCTGCATGAAATAGTTAGGCGAGCAAAAGTTATCGATTGATTAAAACATGTTAATGGTGATACCGAAGCAGGGTGCGCTTGAGCGCGGCGTTGTTTATATGCGGGGCTTGGACATTGGCAAAGCAATTGCGAAATTATTTAATATCTTCTGGTTTTCAGTTTGCTTGATGCTCTGACCCATCTCTTCGCAAAGTGTCATTTGACATCATGACATCTGTGGGAGAAAAGTTTTTGGTGATAAGGGGTACTGTAGTTTCACTGCTGCACAGTGGTTTGAAACTGGAATTTACTGTTCATAATCCTGCAGAACGATTTTTTTTAGATGAGAGCATATCAAATTTACGAGAGACCTGTTGAGCACGATTTTTGAATTTTTATTTATTATTTATGTATTATAAATTTGTTAGTGCAAAGTGCAGAGAATGTGGAAACAAAATAAATATTTATATATTATTATATATAAAATATTTATAAATATTTTACAGTTTTAAAAATAGTTTTATAGCCAATTTTTTTTATATGGAATTACTGGTTCTGTTAGCGAAAAAAAAAATTATTAAAAATCATTGCAAGTTTTATGATATTAAAACCTAATAGGTCATGATACCGCATACCAAATTATTACTTTTTTAATCAATTTAAAAATACAAAAAAAAAAATAATTTTGATAAAAAAAATTTTAATAAAATTTAAATTTTTTTTGTGAAACTTAAATTTTTTTGTGTGATTTTTTTTTGTTTTAGGGGAACCTTAAAATTTGTTCCAGCTACTTTTTATTAAGTAGAACTACAACAGGTGAGTCGATTTATGTCAAAATTGCTACTACCTCTGCACTTTGCACTAAAATATTCAATAGAAATAAATAAAAGTTCAAAAGCAGGGTTCAACAGCATGATTCAATAATAAAAGGTTTGCTCA